CGGTTGTGCAGGTGCACCTTGGCTTTTTGGCAGGCGGTGCATTGTTGAGCCCAACGTGCCGTATCTTTCCTCATGCTAGGCCAGAAGAACTTGGTGCAAACTGCCTTGACCATGGCGCGGACGCTGGGGTGGGCGAGGTTATGGACAACCTCGAATGCTATCTGCCGGAGGGCCGCACGTAGTCCAAAGAAACGTCGGCGTATAGACGATTTCCCTCCACGTCTAAGGCCTGCAGGGAGAATCCCGGGTTCTGCAGCAGGTGCTGCAACTCACCGTCCTTTGCTTGGGCTGTTGAGATGGTCCTGGCATCCAGGAAAGTCGGCATGTTGATGGCCTCAATCCTCGATAGGGCATTGGCGGCGACGTTCTCCTCACCTTTGACGTGCTGCAGGTTGGTGCAGAACTGCAGAATGAAATCTAGGTGCCGGGCCTGCCTGGGTGAGGCCTTGTCTGAAGGTTGCAGCGCTTCGTAGGTCAGGGGTTTCTGGTCCGTAAAGGTGGTGAAAGGCCTGCCCTCAAGGAAGCGCTGGAAGTTTTTGATGGCACAGTAGATGGCGATCAGCTCTCTGTCGTAGGTGCTGTACCTCTGTTCTGTGGGTGTCAGCTTCCTCGAAAAGAAACCCAGCGGCGACCAGACACCTTTGGGGAACTCTTATTCCAGGGCAACTCCTATGGCAAAACTGGAAGCGTCCATCCTCAGCGCTAGCGGGGAGCCAGGGCGCAAAAAAGTTGTGGTGGTCACCTTTGCAAGGGCTGCCTTTGATTGGGAGAACGTGGCGTCTGCTTCCGGAGTCCAAGTTAGCTTGATCTTCTTGTCTTTTTCCGGGAGACCAGCTAGCAGCCCGTTGAGTGGGGCCAGGATTGCTGCCGCCTTGGGCAGGCACCTTCGGTAGTAGTTTATTAGGCCCAGGTACCGGCGCAACTGTGTACGAGTCTCTGGCTTCGGGAACTCTGCCACTGCCTTGACTTTGGCGGGGGGAGGGGTAAACCCCAGCCTCCGAGACGCGGTAGCCTAAGAACATGACTTGTTCCTGGCCCAACACGCATTTCTCCGGGTTGATTCGCAACTTTGCCTCACGGAAGAACCTGAAAAGCTCCTGTAAGTGCTTGAGGTGGGTCTTGTGGTCCGGCGAAAAAACGATGAAGTCGTCGAGGTATGCCCGGATGAATGGCAGGTGCCTTAGCAAGTGGTCAACCGTACGTTGGAGGGATTGTGCTGAGTTCCTTTGGCCTAAGGACGACCTCGTGAATTCGAAGAGGCCAAATGGTGTGGTGATAGCCGTTTTGGGAGCGTCTTCCTCGGCGATGGGGATTTGGTAAAACGCCTTGTGTAGGTCCACTACAGAGAAAACTCGGCCTCGTACCTCCTGCAGAAGGTCCTCGAAGATAGGCAGAGGGTATCGATCGGGCGGGTGATCGAGTTGAGGCGGCTATAGTCGCCGGTTACGCGCCAGCCTCCGTTGGGCTTAGGCACAAGGTGCAGAGGGCTGGCCCACTGGCTAGAAGAGGGACGCACGATGCCCTGCTCGAGGAGGCTTTTGATTTCCCTTTTTGCCACCTCCAGTCGTTGATCGATGAGACGTCGAGGGCGCTCGTGCACTGGCGGTCCTGACGTCAGGATGCAGTGTTTGATTGGCATGTCTGGCAGCGAGGCTATGGTGCTAGCAGCGTGGAGAGTCAGTTTGCTTGACTGACGAGGTTTGCTGAAGATTGACTTGGGCACAATCGAGACTTCTGATCCAGAATCAACAAGGAATCTGAGTCTGGAGTTCGTGTCTCGAACGTGTAGGCGTTTGCCGTGTGGCTCTCGATCCACCCCCACCGCCTGGTGCAGAGGTGGAGAGGTTAGTTTCCCTGGGTGTTTTGAGTGAACGAGCAGGGTGTAGTGCAATGCAGTGCATCGGCACCAAACCTCCAGTGGTACCAGCACAGCGTCGAGTCATCATTAGTGTTCGCTGGCGTTTGCCCTCTTCCGCGTGACCTTGAACGGCCTCTAGATCTCGCTCGGCCCCCGGTCTGCCGTTGACTGTTCAGCGCCGCACTAAGCTGGCTTACCTGTAGCGTGAGGGCCGCGACCTGCTGTTTAAGGGCACTGCTCGACCCTTGTGAAACTGATGAGCCGAGGTCCGAATATGCGGGCGAGACGGATGGCGGAAGGCGAGGAGGCCCTGTCACCGAGAACACGGACGGGAAGGAGTCGATTAGGTCGTCGGCCATGATGCTAAGCTCCTCTAGCGTTGAACCCTTCGACACTTTGAGGATGCGAGTCACTTGCGCTGGCAGGAGGTGTAACTATTTTACCTTGAGCACCTCCTCAGAAACTGTTTTGCCCGCCAGGTTGCGCATAGCGCGCAGGAGCTGGGAAGGAGTTTTGTCCCCGAGTTCTAACTTGTTGAAAAGTTGATCGAGTCGCTTATCGTTCGATTCCGAGAAGCGCTCGAGGTTTTTTTTTTTCAATGCCGGGTATAAATCCTGCTCTGGTGGGTTAGCTATGACATCCATGAACTCGTTCGTTGCTACATGGCCTAGCGCGTTGACAGCCTGGAAGTATTTAGTGCGGTCATCATCCACTTTGTACACCGTGAAGGATGACTCTAAGTGCTGTACCCAACCTGCTGGGCTGTGTATCCAGAGTGGGGGCAGGTGGAGGTTAGCTGGCGTCGCCATGGCGCGTGGGGGGATAGGCTCTTCCACTAGGTTAGGATGCTGCAGCTCGGAGACGGCCTGTAGCTGTTGTTCCAAGAGCTGTTGTTCTTTCTGCTGCTCACGGCGGTGCGCGCGGGCCTCCCGTTCACTGACTTGCTGGGACGCCGCAAGGATTTCCTTAGCGGAGTCGAACTCGCTGTCATCCGACACTTTGGTGCCTATGACGCTGACGACGTCGCCGTGAAGGGACAAGCAAATAAGCCGACACACCAAAACGCCACTCGCGAAGAAAACAACACACACTAGCACTGTCCAGCGCGTCTTATCTATTGACCTTCTTCTTCACTCGTTATCGGCAAAAGAAGAAAAAAAAAACGCTTTGGCGGGCGGGCTTGTTGGTCAAGCTGTTCAAAATGGCGGCCACCGATAACAAAATCACGAGGTTGGAAAAGAAAGATTGAATTCCTCTGTGAGTTGCACTGCACCGGCACACCACGAGATTTCCTCAACTTCGAATGTTGAGACCACGTCGGGGTCACCACTTTGGAATCTCGTTAGGGAGAGGCTTCCAAGAGCCGAAGGAGGACTCGGGCGTAATCACTATAAAAACGGTGGTTACAATCAAGCTTTTCTTTATTGGTCCTTGTTGCAGGGCTAGCGCCACTTTTATATATATTGAACACTTGTGAGCTCAGATATGTATACTCAGAGAGTGAAAGTAACGCGACGTGTTGCTTGAGCTGGTCGGGAATGATCTGGGGCGGCTGCCAGTTTAGCTGGCGAGAAGGGGGAGACAGAGCTCCCGGCTGGTGGCGCCGTCTGAAGGAGTTCGAAGACGTCTCTCGGTACGAGACACTGTTTCCGCCTGTCCTGCCTGGCCGAGGGCGGGAAAGGCTGGTGCGCCACATATATACTGAGGTCACGTAGTAGAGGCATAATGCCAATACAGAGAATACAACACAGAGCCTGCAAGATTGGGAATTGGCCAAACCCAGCAGTATAGCCGGGATAGTCATCATCTTGAAAAAAAAAACCTCTGTGAATTAACACGTGCTTTTTCACCACTCAATGCTCCTCGGGAAGGGTTTAGGCGACCTTCTCGCAGCAAAAATCGTTTACCACATAGGCTCGAGGTGGTCCATGTGACATCATCAACGTGCCAATGAAGTAACAACTGTTATCAATGCCTACCACATAGATCCTTCGCTCTCGAGGTGGTCTATGTGACATCATCACCGCACCAACAAACTACAAAAGTGAATACAATAATGTTTAACCAATAATGTAATATGTAAACCATTACTTGTAAAAATGTAACAAATATAATGTAAAATGTGCCTTACTGTATTAAGGCTATATGTACTCGTTTACAATAATGCCTAAAAATAAATACACTACATAAGTAGGTATTTTTTTTTTTTTACCGGGTTACCACGACAGCCTACTTGGCCTAGTCGCGGGGGCCACCCACTCACCACCTATGTGTGGGGGTGTATTGCCACACNATTTGATTAAAAGTATAAGCTTGATGTTAACCTATTGATTAACTGCTTGTTATAAATTTTCTTACTGTCAGTAATTTCACCACTATCATCTCCTTGAGCATCGATTTCTTTCCCTTCAATGATGACACCCAAATTTTTTAATTTATTAGCTAATGGTTTTTCTATACCACACGCAAAGTGAAATACAATAGTAGGTGGTTTGTACATATGAGGGTGATTCTTAGCACACGTGAAGTAAAAATTGGCTTGGTCAATCACTGATTTTTGACCATATTCAGCACGACCCTGTGAGATAAGAGTGAGGGCCTTGGCATTACGTGCAATGACTTTTATCCAGCTAGAACCACCATCACAGACAATGTCTATTTCTAGCCTTGAATTTTGATGATTAAAGGGCTTTAGAACACCCACAGGCTCATTGGTTGACATCAATCGCTCCACAATGGCATTCAGGTGAATCAAATTTGTGCTCTGCAGGTGTTCTTTCTTGGCATTACCTGCAGAACGAACCTTTTTAAGAGAAGACAAAAAATATGTACATTCATATAAAATGTAGATTTGTAATATTAAATTTCCTGTATCTATAAAAAAAAAAAAAAAAAATTGAAAAATCGTCAAGTCGCAAATTAAGTAGAAATGATGAACGAGATAAAAAATGGAGTATAATATGCATAAACAGAGTGTTAGTCGTGCTATTGGCGTTTGTATACGTATGTGTATGAGTGTGTGGGAGATACATATGCAAACTGCATATCTCCATGGTGATGATAACAACCAGATAAAGGGTAGCTCTCTTGGAATTAACAGTAATCTGGCGTGTTTCAGCATATTCAGTTTTTTAACTAAAAAATGAATAAAAATTTTTTATTTGATTCAAAAGACATAGCCAAAAAAAGTTTAATTATGAAACAGGATATAAACGTTAATAATGAAGAGTTTCATAATTTTATGCATCGTGTGACACGAGTCGGTAAGTTGACATTGATAAAATAATTGTACTTAAATTGACTTTTGATTTTTATTTTATACTTGACGATATGGATTGGATTCAAGAAAAAATTGTTAAACAACTTACCTCACCCAACTTAGATGATCAAAAACACGGAATTGTTTTAGCTGATGAAATTTTAAAAGAAAATGTTACATTTGAATTGTCTGATACTGATGTGTCGAAGGTTAAAACCAGTCGAACGATTATTAATAAATATTTGCCAGAAAATTTAAATTCTAACAAAATGTGTCAAGGTAAGTCTTAGTGGTGTTAACATTGTATACAAAAATTTAAACGACCATTAAGATATTAATTAATTGGTCGAATTGCATGAGGTATTACGAAAGTACTTCAACTAAATTTTTTTCATACTCAAAAGTTTGCTTTTACTATCAATTTTCATGAAACAAATTATCCTAACGAGATATCTCTCACATATTGAAACGGCACCTAAACCTAGAGGTTTTCAAACGATGTGTCGAGCGGGACGTCCAAGCTCGCGCTGAGAACAGAAAAATTTGCAATGAGCGAGCTGACACATACAAGCGCATAGGCAATGGGGCGTTTCACGAGGCTAAGTACGAAAAAGCTGTAACGTACTTTACCAAGGCATTGGAACAACGCAAGGACTCTGCAGTACTTTGGAATAATCGGGCACTTTCTTACATGGCTTTGGGCTTGTATGAGAAAGCTCTTGCCGACTGCGAGAGAGCTCTTAAGATCAACGACAATAACATCAAAGCACTGCTGAATAGTGCCAAGTGTTACAAGCTGTTAAATTGTGAGGACGAGTGTGAAGAGTTCTTAAAATTGGCTCGTAAGAGTAACCCAAGATTTTCGAGCTACATTTCGGGTACTTGATTATTTTTTATTTGATGCATTGTCGATCGACTCTGATATTTCACGATAATTTCATTTTGATTTTAGAATTTGAGAAAAATCTGGAATCGGATGGCACAACTGAGTTTACAGTAAGCAAAAAAGGTGACATATATTGAGTAAATAACAATAGATGAGTACCTGTGTTGAAATAAACAATAGTTTAACATTCGATAAATACTTTTTAAATTAACAATCTGTCAAAATTTAAAATAAGCTCAAAGGTATGTATTACTTCATCATTCACCTCTAGCCAGTTATTATATGTATAAAAAATGCCTTTATGTACAGCTCTACAATAAATCGTCGTTCTAATTGGTTATTGAGAAAGTGCATCCTAAATTATCTGTTATATATTTAAAAGAACGTCAAGATTCAATCCTCTCAGCATTGAGTTCTTTCAATTCAGACAGAGAGCGTGGCTCGTGAATAAACACCACACATTCTACTCCCTGAAATGCAATGGATTTTGTAAATTTTTTATCATAAAAGTCATTAAGTAGGATTAAAAAAATACATTTAGTATTCAATACCTGCATTCGAGCAGCACGCACAAATCCTTCATTGGCAGAGACGGTGATGCATTTATTATTTTCACCACTTGCAAAAATAAGCCTAGAACGCATCTTTATTTTACCACCAAGACACAGTTGCATGACTCTTCCTTGAGGGACATCATTTACGATTGTGACTCTGCTTATTAACTCGTCAGTTCTATTTTTTTCATTGGGACCACCAATCAAGTTCACTATACTTTTAAAGTTGTCATATGCAGTTTGACACACCAAAAGTTTCTTGTCTTGAAATAAACTATCTAGAATATGTTTTAAAGGTCGGCATCGTTCGCATTCGGCTTGTCTTGTAAGTAATGTTTCCAAGTATTTATAATTAACACGACCATTTGTCATATTTGTTACATAACCAAGTAATGTTGACACGTCTAAATTAAGTATTTTAATGTCAGATATTTGTATATGGGTGTTCAAATTTAGCAAATTACAAACATTACTGTTTGTTATAGAATCTCTAGATGTAGTCTCAGATTCAGATAATGACATTTCATCTAATACAAAAAAATAAATTTGATTAAAAGTATAAGCTTGATGTTAACCTATTGATTAACTGCTTGTTATAAATTTTCTTACTGTCAGTAATTTCACCACTATCATCTCCTTGAGCATCGATTTCTTTCCCTTCAATGATGACACCCAAATTTTTTAATTTATTAGCTAATGGTTTTTCTATACCACACGCAAAGTGAAATACAATAGTAGGTGGTTTGTACATATGAGGGTGATTCTTAGCACACGTGAAGTAAAAATTGGCTTGGTCAATCACTGATTTTTGACCATATTCAGCACGACCCTGTGAGATAAGAGTGAGGGCCTTGGCATTACGTGCAATGACTTTTATCCAGCTAGAACCACCATCACAGACAATGTCTATTTCTAGCCTTGAATTTTGATGATTAAAGGGCTTTAGAACACCCACAGGCTCATTGGTTGACATCAATCGCTCCACAATGGCATTCAGGTGAATCAAATTTGTGCTCTGCAGGTGTTCTTTCTTGGCATTACCTGCAGAACGAACCTTTTTAAGAGAAGACAAAAAATATGTACATTCATATAAAATGTAGATTTGTAATATTAAATTTCCTGTATCTATTGGCACCAAATCCACGTAAATACGTAGATACAAGTAGAGCTACATTCACGTTTACGTGGATATAGGGCTTATAATTTATAATATCCAAGTAAATAATCATGATACTGTTCTCAGGCTGCGTATACATGGAGTCCCGAACTTCCAGGACCAGCCATAAGCCCATGTGAGTGCGAGTGAGAAGCAAGAACATATACTTTCCTTGTCGCACTCACACGGGCTTATAGCTGGTCCTGGAAATTCGGGACTCCTTATATACGCAGCCTCACACTACTCCAGGTGTTGTCTGTACTGTCTAATAATATCCACATATTTACGTAGACTTGGGGCGAATAGACCCAGCGTAATCAAGTTAAATTTTGTAACGAAATCAATTTCTATAATATCAATATGCATAGCGTCATAAATACTAATGTACCTTTATTAAAAATCTAACTTCTTGATAAATTTTTCTAATGAGCTTGTCTACACCTTCAATCTTCACGAGTTTCAACTGATCTACCATGTCGTTACCACATTTTATTTTTTCGTCAAATCTTTGTATTAAATCCTGTTGCGTTCCCATTACACAAAACTAATTCGTTGTGGCAACACGTTGTTAGTAACTATTAATATAAAAAATCGGCTATAAAACGAGGGTGGTCGCGGTGACGTCGATCTCCGAGGTTGAGCAGCATTTGGCGCGTTAAGTACTTGGATCCTTGGATGGGTGACCGTTCAAGTCTCGCCGTTCCGCCTGTGCTGTTGATTCTCGCAGGTCGATTAACTGTTTCTCTGACGCTTTGTCTACGTGATCATGGGTGTGTTCCAGTAACGCTCTCCGACAACTTACCGACAACTTAATTATGTCTAACGTTATCTTGCATCATGTTTACGTTGTCGGTAAGCTGTCGGAGAGCGCTACTGGAACACACGGCGTAAGAGTGATAGACCAAGAGCTAAGGCCCGAGGAAGGTCAAAATTTTAACCAGCCGCCACTTTCACCAAAATTGAAGAACCTTATAATTTGTACAGATCCAAAATATTTCGGTCATATGTTATTTTAGTAAAAAGTAATGTGGTAATTATAGTTGTGCCATAAAATTTTATTCATTAACCAACCGCAACTTACACCAATGGATAGAAGATAAAAAGTTTTTATTTGAAAGTGCCATTTGTGGCACCAGATTAGAATGCATCTTGTACCCGAAAATCGACCTCCAAAAATATAGATATTGTATTCTTATCTATATTGTTATCTACAATACATCATCTATTGTATTAGATGAGTATTATAGATAAGATCGAGTAAGGGGTCTATTTTTGTGGGTCCCACAACCCACACCCCCTCGAGCTGTGTTGCAGCTGTGTTGTTTTGGTGGCTAGCACGCTAACCACTGAGCACGGTGTAAGATAAGACAGGTGTTACTTCGTACCGCCTATATGCTTGTGTGCCGTGTGGTCCGTTGCATTTTGTAGCAGTACCAAAGTTGACCACTAGGAGAATCGGTGTCGAAAAGGCAGTAGCAGACGAGAAAACAATTGTAACGTAAAAGGTGCACCAAAGTGTAAATACAAACTCTAACATTTCTCACAATATTGTTCACGATAAGTTGTATTACTTATCGCATCACCGGCTTTTGTTCCGTCGAGAGACGGAATCGGAGCGGAACTTCATCTCAACTTCTAAATTGAACACACTTGTTTTCCCCCAGAGCCTTGCGCGCGCTCGCACCCGCCGCTGATTGGCTCTCAGCTTGTCAGCGCGGCAGCGGGAGGGGTGGGGCTTCAGGACTCGATTTTTTCCTTGCACGCTCTCTTTTGACTGATACGCCGAATTGGAAGCATCTTCATTATACCTCTCGCGTATAGTGCTTGAAATTTTGCCGCTTACAGGTTGTGTCATTTGCAGGAAATCTTTGTCGCCGTCTTCGAGCCCCATGACTCAGAACATCATTGTCGAGACGCCAAGTCTTTCATATTTAATCATATCTCACCTTCATACGTATTTATATTTCGTCAATCTTCATCATAGTAGCTCTATATAATCATTTCGCTAATTATTCTTTACATATCTACATTTCTCATTAATCGCATCTCGCATTCGTGTTGTGCCCCTGCAACTCTAATTATCATTATTTAATTCATCACTCATTCAGCTATCTCTTGCTCATCCTCACCGTCATCCCAACTCTTTCACCTGTCGTTCGTGCTACTCTTCTTTTCTCTACCCAACCCTTCTCCACTCAAAATCACCTTCACAATCGCTCTCAACTTATCCTTTGCGCCCTTGTGCACGATTACGCTTATCGCATTTGCATCATCTGCGCCCTTCTCAATACACATCTCGGTTATTCTTTCACCTCATGTCAACGAACAGCTTATCATCTATACGTCACTCATCGTACAAACTTTATCATTATCCGTCCAGTATCTCCACCAGTCTACATATATCCACCATCATCTTAGGTTAAATTCTATCCACGCATCCGCATTCAACCACGTCACTACATATCATACATTTCATACGTCTATTACACCTACTCAGTGCATCTCGTCATCCCGCCGTCTTCAATACAGCTCGCCCGCTCCATTTCATCTCTCGTTCCGGAATCAGGGTCCTCACCCGAATACGCCACTCACCACAACCATCATTACTGAGCTGCCGCAGGTGGTAGCTAATTTCGACTTTCGGGCCGTCTGCCCGCTTTCACCAGCCTTGCGCTGACTCGTGGGACCGTGCAGGGCCCACCGGTTCGCAGAGGAGATCACTCCTCCCTCACTCACCTTGAATTCATACACAACGGGAGTTGTTACCACCAGGTCCTCCTGCACATCCTAACATATTCACATACCAACACAACGCACGTTTACTACTGCTCCCATTGTTATTAGTATAATTAGTTTAATTCGTTCTTCAATTGTATTCACTCTGATTCGTTTTAATAAATCTGGCTTTTTCCCCTTAATTCGTTGTTATTAATTGTGTTAACCTTCCTCCCCCCTTTATTTGCTCATTAAAATTATTACTCAGTAATAAAATTAAGTATTATAATTTATCAAATTAATTTATTTGATGAGGCTATTTATTATTAATTTTTTTTATATTCGCTGAGAGGCCTTTGGCGTTAATTTGAATTTCATACCCTTCACTCTAGTTTATTTTTTTTTTTTTTTGTATTTGACTTTAAAATAGCACTCTCTATAAGAAAGTAAACCCCCCTATATTTCTATTGATTGGATTGGAATTTTGACCAGGTAATCCATGTTGGATCGGCTGTGTCTCCACGCAACAGCTTTATTTGTCGAAAGCTGCAAAAAAAAATTTGAAAAATGCACCACATGTCAAATTTCTTTTAAATAGTAATCCCGGAAACTCTGTTAAACCAGAAGCATTATTAACTAACTTAAAAAATAGGGGGAGGACTCATCCATGCAAATACTCTTTTTTACAAACTCTTTGATAAAATAGAAAAATATTTTAGGGGAGCCATAAATAATAAGCTTGTCAATGTTTACGAATGTGTTGTTGAAAATCTTTTGCGCAATAAGTTTCAGTTCCCCTGTAAACTACATAAAGAAGATGCAATATCCAAATTTATCTATCATTACACTAGCATGAGAATGAGACAGTACGTTAACATACAAAATAAGGATGTTTTTAAAGAAAGTAGAGAGAAAAAAAAATTATCGTAATTGGTTTCAACCTAATTTTTAATTCATTCATTTATTGCCTTCATTGTATCTTATTCTACGTATTAGGAGTAGATTGTAAAATTTGTAAATAAATAGAGTTACGATTATATCATGTGGTTTTTATATCTATATATTGTGCCTTTTTTACTCATACGCCATCTGACGAGTACAATTGGTACTGCTACAAAACTGCAACCCGTTGGAGGCAGTGGGTAGTGTTGGGTGACGACCTCCCGTTACCCGTTACACCATCGTCGTGACTGGGCCAGTGTTGGGTGAGGAGCATATGATTTTGCATTTTTATCACTAGGAGCTATATATAGCTGCAGATCCTAGTGAGAAAAATGCAAAAGCTAAATAGGAGAGGGGAGGAGGCCAGTGGTTCTCCCCGAATGTGACTAGCAAACTTGTGGGAAAATCAAATATGCAATGTATTGCAAGACGCAAGTACCCAGATAACTCGACACAATTACATGCACAATAAATTAATAAACTAATCCCAAGCAATTTAACCCAATAACCCAATGGGCCAATAAGCAGCCTCATGAGTTTGAATAAATAATAAAATTTATTAATTAACAAAGCAAGCGCCAATCCCCACACGACCCAAGGCACTTACTGGTTGCCTTAATTATTTATGATTAATAAAATAATAACGCAAGCACCTATCCCCCAGGAAACCAGGGGAACTAACTGGTTGCTTTGATTATTTATTATTAATAAAATAATACCGCAGGCGCCTATCCCCACACGACCCAAGGCTCTCACTGGTTGCTTTAATTATTTATTATTAATAAAATAATACCGCAAGCGCCTATCCCCACACAACCAGGGGCACTTACTGGTCGCTTACTTAATTTACTATGAATAAAATTATGATGCAAGCACCTATTCCCTCATAACCTGGGGCGCCTACTGGTTGCTTTAATTATTTACAATAAATAAATTAATGTGAACGCTAATCCCCACATGACCCGAGAGGCTTGCATTATTCAATTGATTTTAAATATTTATAGTGACCAGTTACCACCCCTGGTTGTGTTAGGATTTGCGTTATTGTATTATTAATAGTAATTTAAGTAAACGACCAGTAAGTGCCTTTTTGGTCTATCACTATCTCCTCTTCGGTGCTGTCGTGCACGGTGCACTTCACGGTCTTATTTCATCTATGCGTATACGTTCTGTCAACACGTTCAACAAGTCTAGTTAGAGACAACCTTACAGCTTGAAATCACTAGATCAGTTTTAAGCATTTTGATTGCGACCCGTCTCACCGAGAATTGGCTTGAACAAACCTTATGCTTTTTCTGGGGTCGCTTGGAGGCGCTCGGAGTCGGAGTAGTTTAGTCGAACCATCTATAATGATGCTCCGTGTGCAGACTATACGGCGCGCAAGTTGTCAACTAATTGCACAAGTAAATGGGACTACTATACTTACTATTGTCAATTTATCAGGAGTGAAAAACGAATGTGTAGGTGTGCATGGCAGAGCGACGAAAATTAAAGGTGTATTTGGAGCATCAATGATTTATTGGTACAACGATGCGTTTTTCTCATTTGGGACACGTCATCCAAAGAATGACTCGAGGTCTACTAAAACAGAGAGACCTGTGGTGCTAATTCTGTAATTCCAAGTGCGGATTGATGCCAATTTCGCCAATGCCACGCGGGGCATCGAGAAAGTATCGTTTACAAATGTTCAACATCATCTATATTGACGCTGTCCAAAATTTTGTCTTGTCATAACCTATTCACCAGAGAGCTGCTTTCTCTGTCTCTCTCGTGCCGAATGTTCGAGTGTTCAGTGGGCACCTTGCGTGTGTGTTCGCTGTGCTTATAGTGTATTTATATCCACGTATATACTCAGTTGATGGTGTCGATGACAGTGTCGAGACTGTCGAGTGTCAAGTGGAGAAGAAACAATAATTCTCTCTTGAAGTTTTGACGTTGCTTCTGTCGTCATCAGCATTTAATCAATATGTCAGGCCAGAGTGGAGGACAACGCCTACGCCTGTGTATGCTTAATGAGCATTTAACGTGCAGAGTATGTGGGGGCTATTTCGTCGACGCCACCACGATCATGGAGTGTCTACATACATGTAAGAATAACAGTGATTTTGAGATTTTCCGTAAAACTCGTTTTTCATTTAATCTTCATCATAATTTATTCGTGTCCCTTCACAGTTTGTAAAAGTTGTATTGTCAAACATTTGGACAGAAGCAAGTATTGTCCAGTTTGTGGTATCCAAGTCCATAAAAGCAAACCTTTGTTGAATATCAGGCCTGACCAAGCTCTTCAAGACATTGTTTATAAATTGGTGCCTAGTTGTTACCAAAGTAAATGACGCTTTTTCGAATACACTACTCGTTATTACAATATACACAGTATTGTATTTTTTACAATTATGTTCTCGATGATTGTTTTTACAATCCTGTTTATTATGATTTATTTATTAAAAAAAAAAAAAAAAATTTTCAGATGAAATGCGATATCGCAAGGAATTTTATGATAAACATCCTGACGAGAGAAGTAAGGTGACAACTTCAGAAGCTATGGGAGAACCTACAGAAACTTTTATTTATTCTCCAGATGAGTCATTGAGTTTATCCTTAGAATATTATAGTCCACAAGCTGTTGATAAAACTTTCAATGACCAGGAAGCAGCATCAAAAATCTTACCAAGACGGTACCTTCGATGTCCTGCTGCAGTAACAGTGTTTCATCTTCAAAAGCTAATCAGGGCAAAATATGGGTTAAGTGAAGCCCATAGGGTCGATATAATGTACAAAGAAGAATCTTTGGGAGCCACGTACACATTAATGGATATTATGTACATTTATCATTGGAGGAGGGTATGTAAAAACAATTTTTTAAGTCAAACACTGTATCAAAAATTTGTTTAATTTTTTCTTAATATTTGTAAAAATAAAACGTAATTTCGCCTTAGTGATAAATCAATAGTATTTTGTATGCAAAAGTGTAGATCTTTCAACTTTTTTGTTAAACTTTATTGTTTACAGAAAGTTCCACTTCACTTAAGCTACAGAATATTTGAATCAGCTATAAAACAAGTTATGTTGTCAAATGACAATGATGATTTTAAACAACCGCTCTCTAATAGTAATATGGAAGTGGATTCGAAGGATGATGGACAGTCTGTTAAACGAGAATGGAAAGAGGTTCAGTTAAAAATTTCTGAAACGGGAGTGATGAGTGTGACAGATATAACGAGTTTGGATTCAAAAAAGAGTACCAAAGTCAATGAGATTAATACGCAGAGTGTAAGTGTGGATCAGGCGTCCCTGAACTCGTACAATATAAACACGACTGTCGCGACAGAAGAAGCAGAATCTTTTTTTAGAAGTGCAAAAGTGCAGCAAAATAGCGTGCCCCAAAAAAATGAAAAATTACAGGAAGAAAAAAATAGCGTTGCACTTGATAGTTCGAATGAGGCATTTCATAATAATGTCAAAAGCGAAAAAATGGAAGTTAAACCGATAGATCAGCGAGATTTGTCGATTGAACTATTAAAAAGTGCCACTGAGAGTAACAAATCCTTAAAAACAGTCCTGGAAGATTCTGCCCAGGAATCGTTAGATGAAAATCAAACGCAAACGCAACTACTGGTACAAGAACAAGTCAAAACGGAATCTGTCTTTGCTTGTATATTTGAAAAGCAAACTCTCGAGAAACATCTAAATCCATATAACATCATAAAAACTGATAGTGGAGAAGTCAAGGTAGATACTAATGCAAAGCAGAATGCGAAAGCTGGTTCAAAAATCAATGCACTTAGCGCAAAACTGCAATTTCGGCCAAAGACGGGTAAAAGTACGAATACATACACCAAAAAATCAGCCTCATTCATAGTAAAGAAGAGAACTTTGTCGCCGCCTGTAAATCACACTGAGATTAAGGCTCTAAAAACCACGTTGAAATCCGATGTAAAATCATCGTTGCTTTTGAAAAGTTCTTCCAACAGTCAATCTTTAGAGCCAAAAGTGCCACCAGCATCAAGTTGTGCTGCGATTGCACCCGCTACTCATGTCCAAAGTGGCATATTGAATACCTCGTTGGCTTTTGAAAAAGCTCCTTCTGGGGTATCTACCTCTGCTAACTCTTACTATCACCAGCAAAACAAAAACATTTCTCAGCCAATAGCTCAAGGCAGCGAAGCTTCAATCTCAGTTGGATTACCTGTGTCAACCTCAACAATGGAAATTCAAGCAAGTCACAACAGTTGGATGCCTGAGCCAGCTAGCAGCCAGAAAAACTTGACCGACAAAGCAGCGATCGTGGACAAACAGCTACGTTCGTTACCCGGGATGCCACAAATCGGCAAGGAAATTTTGTGTTCGACCACAGCGGCAAGTGGTTCACCTACCAGCGTGAGGCGTCTGAGCATTCAGACACCTTCAATGAGCATCTACTACAGTAGTTCATCGAAACATAAGCCGCCAACGTCGAAAGTAAACTACGATACCACAAGCATGTATTCAGTGTCGTCAGGTCTGGATGCTGCGCCGATCTCATTAACAAAATCATCATTGGTGGCGAGTTCTCGTAAGGATGCAGTTACAAAGGGCACGACTGTTAACGAGATTTGCGACAAAATTCGCAGTAGCTCAAAACTTGTTACCGATAACTTGAAAGACAAAAACAAGCTTGAGGCGCAACAATGCGACAAGCCAGAGATACTAGAACTACTTAAAATCTCAAAAAAAAACGAAGCTCTGGACGCTACTCATGCCAAACACGTACCGAATATTCCTAATATGCCGATCTACACCCCAAGCAACAGCCAGTACCAACAGATGCAGCAAGGCACTGAGCCAAAAGATAACGTCAAAAAGCCGGTGGCGGCAATCGCACCGTCATCGCAAGGATTGATAATGGCTGCTGTCCATCATCAGGTGCATCACGAGCAACAGAAGCAAACAGCCGATGCAAGTAAGCAGCAGCAGCAGCAGCAACAACAACATTCAAGTGCATCTTACAAGACACTGCGTTTCCCTCCAAAAAATTGGAATCCAACGTTATCCAAGAACAATTACGTAGCAGCTAAGAATCAAGCTAAAGAACTTCAGGCAGCTTTCAGTGCCGCTGCCGACGGCAGTAGCTTACATAGACAGATACCCTTGAAACCACCTAAAATATTTAAAAATAAAAATACGCCTCGATTTTTAGGTAATTCAAACTAATTAATCAATTAATTATGATGACCATAAAGTCTTAGTATTAAATGCTTAGATAAACTTAGAATCAAGTTGCAGTGATAGTTTGTTAGTTATTATGCATCTTATAATTATTAGCAGACTTAAAGGTATTTGACATACTTAATTAAAACATGAGACAGTAAAGTACAGAAATCAAAACTTGAAGCCAGGATTACTAGGTCATGTGTTTCTCTTTTAAAGTTTTAATTTAACTTTTCTGGATTTCAACTTTGTCAAGTATGTTTCGAAATTTCATACCATTGACATTTCATTTGCAAAATATGTTAATGTGTTTCAATTAAAATTGACTTGATACTACTATTGCTGAGTTTATTGTATGACAAATAAGCGCCTAAGTATTAAGAAGATTTTTATAAAATTAATTACTTGGCGCAAAATAAAAGTTACTGATTTCTTTAAAAAATATGAACCAGTGGTTAATGGGTGCTTGGGTATCCAAGCTTCAAGTTATATTTCTCTTACAGTCAATATGAGAATGCAGATATAATGTTTAGGAAATAACATTTTAAATAACCCACAGCGTTGTATGTATCGAAGGTAGTGCAATTATCGTTGGAATAAGGATATTCAGTAATTGGGTGTGGTTTCAATAAAAATTGTAGTATTAAATAAATGAACAATTACAAAAAAATAAATAGAGGACATGGACAAGACAAGTACAGTATAGTCATCGTACGACGAGGTACCACGGGGCTTCATCACGGCTTTGGATATCTCGCAAAAGTCTGTATTTTTTCGATAATTCTTATACTGCGCATGCGCTCAACCATAATTTTACTTAAATTATCGAAAAAAATACTGACTTTTGCGAGATATCGAAAGCCGTTATAGAGCCCCCAGGCTGGCCAGTATGAAACTACCCGCAATCGTCAAATCTTCCAAATATTTCAAAACAACTTAAAGGGAGCGTAATTGGTGGCGTCGTCCTAGATTTTTTCGCTGTCAGTTTTCTTTTAGAATCATGTTGATTAGACCCTACATAATAGTCATGTTGCCAGTTCGCAACCTGGTCACAATTTGTTCAAACAAATATATATAAAAAATTTCATCAGTTTTTTTTTATCTTAAAAAAAATATTTTCATATTCTTTGGCACATTCTGAACAAAAACTGCTTGTAACGTATAAACTTACAAACCCTACATAGTTCGAGTAAAAAATTCTTAAAGATTTGAAATATACAACTTTTCCAATTTTCAGACATGGCAAAGTATGAAAATAAATAATTTTCTAATGACACACCACGTCATCATTAATTATGAACCTTTCTCTACAATATGTAAGAAAGAAAATATCGAAAAATTAAGTGGAAACATTTGTTTTTGGCTGTTAACATTTAGAGCATTTCAGTGCGCTCGCCCGTATTAGAGTATATTACCTATGTGCTTCAGCGTGTCGTGAAAACCCATGTAGGGTAGGTATATGCTCATATGTGCGCGCACACTGAAATGCTCGAAATGTTAACTGCGGAAAAGAATGTTGCCACTTGATTAATAGAAATTTTTTTTTTGGAGATTGTAGAGGATGGTTTATAGTTAATGCTGACGTGGTGTGCCTTGTGAAAATGTTTTAGTTGCATACTTTTCCAAGGCTCTGAAAATTGGAAAAGTATTTTTCAAAACTTGAGGAATTTTTTACTCGAAATCTGTAGGGTTTGTAAGTATATACGTTTCAAGTAGTTTTTTTTTTAGAATGGGCCAAAGAATATAAAAAAATTTTTTTTTAGATAAAAAATAACAACTAATGAAACTTTTTATAAAAAATTTTTTAAACAAATTGTGACAAGGTTGCGAGCTAGCAACATAACTATTATCATTACGAAAGGTCTAATAAACATGATTTTAAAAGAAAACTGACTGCGGAAAAATCTAAGACGACGCCACCGATTTCACCCCCTCTATCTTCCTATGCACTGATATGATGACATTTCTAACGTCGCGCTAGCATATGTCACATAAGCTCTCACACTCACCCTCAGTCGCGTACACAACACAATTTATGAATTTATGAAAGGAAAAAAAAAATTGATATGATAATACATACTGGAAATAAAAAACTTTATCCATGGACCCTCGTCTTAATAAATCTATACGGAAAAAAAAAAAAAAATTGAAGTAACGTAAAACTTTGAAAAAAAATGTTAAAATTGAATTAACAATTGTTTATTTATTTCAAAATCAACAAAATAATAAAAATAAAACGAATGTTCATTTATGTATCGGAAAGCTGCTACTAAAAAATATTTTTTTCAATTTTTCGAAAAAAAAAAAGATACTCAAATTCATAAATAACTTATTAATGCGTATGACAAATCTTCAACAACACATGAAGTAATTAATAGTAAGAAAATACTTCAATTGAAAATAAGTAACGATCCACAACTCAACAGAAATAAGAGATACACTTACCTACTGTTATATCTGTCCTTCCGGTTATAGTCCGCTTTATGGTCCAGAAGGACAGATATGTACCTACATACTTCACAAACTCAGCTCATGGCTGAGTTGATCGATGCTCGGTTCGCGTGCAGATCACCGGTTCATATCCTACGAGATTTTTTTTTTTTTCAATTTAATTTAATGTAATNGAAATGCAATTAGTAAAAACTGCTCCTTTCTATTTATTTAATTAATGCAAATTAAAGTGCCCGGTAACAGGCAATACTTCGCGAGTCATTATAAAGCTAATAATCAATATTTAAAAGAAATTTTTATTAGAAAAAACTGCTCTTAGGGCGCTTCAAATTGCTCTATGATTCATTTGCAAATTCAAAGTGTTAAAATTTTAATACCGTAACCTGCCTTCGATAAGAATTTCATATTCTCTACCCTCTTTAAAAAAAATTTCGATTCTTTTAATTTTTTATATCGAAATATCTTATAAAGTTAAGTCAAATACCTACTTAACTGTATGGAAAAAAAATTCTTAAAAAATTTTCCATAGTACACATTGTCTCTCAAATTGTGTCTCTTTATTTTGTTAATTTCAAAGTTCTCGCACAAATTTTTGCAGTACAATCGCTTTTTCGACTTCAGTGGAGTCACCGCCGACGTTATCTATCTTTATTTGTATAGACCATGTTGAAAAACCTGCAAGGCAGTTGAAAAATTGAAAAACTTTTTGCAATAGTTTTTTTTTCGTGCACTTGACAAAATAATGAAATCGGTCATTACCGTAACCGGATTTATCTTGTCGTAAAGGTGTATGTACATATTTTAAGTGGTGAGAAATAAAATTAGATGGTAAGTACAAGTAATAAATGCGCGGAAAACATTTTAAAATATATGTTGAGTGTATAGAAATCCATTTTTTAAGACGATTTGTCATTATCGTAACCACAAAAAATGAATTTTACTGTTAATTATTTAAACGGTCATATTTTTTCGCGTAGATTGCAGGTTTATGGACTTGGAATGGCGCCGGTTTTGAGAAAAAATACACAAAGTTCCGTAAAATTAAAAAAGTTCGAAGTTAATGAAGAAATAAAAGCGAAAGTAAAAAAAGTAAAATATTCAACTAATATAATAAATAAAAAAAAGGTTTCTAAGGAAAAGGTATGAAATTAGACAAAAATGGAGAAAAAGTAAAAAAGTAGCATAATAAACTTGAAGAAAGTTCTGAAAAACATCAAAATTATCTTAGTTCTGATAAAGTGTGTCATTACTGTAACGAATCCATCATTTCAATGGTTACCGCACTTAAAACTCTGTTCTGAGTATTTTTGCAGTACTGATACACATTTTTTTTAAACTTCAGGTAATCCAGCATCCGGTGTTAAACCCATGTACGGCGTGGTAAGCGATCAACTTAAAGAAAAGGACCAGTCAAGCAGCATAGCAAAGAACAGCCCAACATTGACTAAAATCGATCCGCAAACTCTCTCACCCATAATCACGGGCCAAAACTCTATGGCTACTCCGCAACCTTACTCGCCCACAACCCGGAACAGCAGCTACCACAATAGCCCGTACCAGCGAAACAGCGGTGGCTCGTCCGTCAGTAGCTCGCTAAGAAACTCACCAGTCAACATACTCTCGACCAGTCCCTTTATCCCATCGCACACACCAAATACCAATCCCCGTATCATCTACTTCCCATCTGCGGCAGGCTACAGTCCCGACGCTAGCCACCTATCTAATCCGTTGATCCGGCCGCCAATACAACCACCTCCAAGTGCCTTCCACTGCAGCCTACCGCCATCGATAAATAAGCTTTATCAGCGCTCGGGCTACCTGGCTCAACCACAAACGAGCGTCGTTACCGCTTTTAATACTGCTGCTGCCACCAGTGCTGGTTTTCCAGCTACGAGCAGTGGAAGCCAGCGGCTGCAGATAACGTCGCCCAACAGCCACTCTTCACCAATGGCCTCGATACCCTCGTCTGCTTCAAAGTTGCCAAAAATGTTGTCGACTTCTTCTGGCACGGCAGTTCCCTCGCTCGCAGGTATGAATCTTGTAACGACTTCGACTGCGTCTCTAGCCGACAGTATTGCCCTGCAACTAACTGCTAAGCGCGAACACCACAATATCTTTGATATAATGCGGCCTGAAAGTATGAAACCGCCAAGTGCCGACACTAATAGCTCAATGTCGCCGGTATCGACGACTCATGCTGTCAGCCCCAAAGTCAACATCTGCGATGTCGAACTAAAAGGCACCAATGCTAATGTGTCATCGACGACGATGATGAAGAAAAAGAAGAGCGGCGCAACCAATTTTACGGATTCTCCAGCTAAAAACGCCGTGAGCATAGTTTCTACAAGCACAACGCCAGGGGCTAAAGATACCGTCGATAAAAAGAATAAGAATCGGACTAGGGTTAACGGGAACATTTCTCTCCCAACGCCACTACTGAATGTTGAAAAGCCAAAGGACCCGGGCGTTGAGGCACATACACAGCAGGAACAAGTTACAGGGGCATCGGAAGATAACAGGTGTATTCTTAATGGATCGAACGGCAAATCAATGTCGTCGTCGCCGAGGAAATTGACAGGTGACGAGAGTGCGTTGACGCAGGAAGAATCTAATGAAGGTCAAGCAAAACAGGCCAACAGTACTATTCAGTCGAAGCAGAAGAAAAGCTCGACTGGTCCGGGTACGGAAAACCCTTCGTCGACACCTAGTAACAAAGGAAATAACGAGGCTCGAGACAAAAAAGCCAAGTCTTAATTTTTAATTCGTCAAGTCGCATCGTTAATCTTTTGGGACAATTAAAGGCGTGTTTCTTGGTAATGATGTAAATTTGTATAAATATGCGGCCAAGATCGTATTTGTCGATTAATTATTTAATGATACATTTCGAGATTTTATTGCTGTACAGTTAACAGCAACTTTTGTTGAGCACACTATTTGTCCCAATTACTTAATTGCTTGGACGCTTGAATTTATTTTTGAACTTTTTGTTTAAATTGTTAGCTATTGAATGCAACAGTCTCGGTTTACATAATTTTGAGTAAAACAGGCATCTTTATTTTTAATTGCATTAAACAAAATTAGTGTCAAGTTTTTTGTCATTGAAATGTAATATTTAATCGACTATTTAGTCTTAAGCTTTGAAAATTGAAATATTTTCTGCATATCGTTGTTTATTATTTTTTTAATCTTAATACCAGTACAAATTTTCATATCTTAGTGTTTGATGAGAAGAATTCTATTGATGTGATATATATATGGGTCATTGTAAAAAAATTTGGGCTTTTCATGTCCTTNTTACCCTTCTTTTACCCATCTTCTTTTAACTCATCTTTTATTTGACCAAAATATGTTTCAGCTCGTGCTGATGTCGCAACAACGTGAGGGTTTTCAAAACAAATGTTCATGACTTGGCTCCAGCTTGGAAATTCATGACACAATGTCATGATTCTTTGTGCAAAAAAGAATGATGCATTTTAAATTGGTTAGTGGAAAGTTATGTTTTTTTCTTTAATTATTTCATAAATTTATATTATTAATTTTCTAATCTACACTGTAAAAAGGTGTTCACAGAATTACCGAATTGTAAAATTTTTTAAAATAGTTTCATTGCGTGGTCAGCTTTTCTAAATGTCGAGCTGTGTCTTTCAACTTGCATACCAATTCTTGAACCTCTTGAATAGTGCATACAAACTTAACACATTCAACTTTACCATTCTTTATTGTGCTAAGTGACATGTTATACATGGGAAGACTAGCTGTATAGTTTGTACTGGACTGAAAAAAATTGGTTTATTTGGTTATTTAAAAAGTTACATTCCCTAAATCTTTACATTCCCTAAAAAATTACCTTAACACAATAATTCAGTTGCCAGTCTACATCAATAATATGCGGTAGTGCGCTTCCAATCGACTCCAAGAATTCTTTAATTTGTTCTTTGTAACTGAAGTAACATTTACAGAGTTTATCAATACAAGATCTGGTCAATGTTGTGCACTGTAATAAGTTAAACAATCCTTCTAGATCACTGTCATGTTTTGCAGCTTCAATAAGCACTTTAGTAATGTCTGCATGTGCAATTTTAACGACATCCGGCATTGAACCATAAATTTCAGTAAAATCTAAACATATGTAATGATTATTGATTTGTAAAAACATAGTGATTACTTTCCTCAGCTACATTACAACACTGAGTCTATTTGTACCAAATCCACGTAAGTAAATACGTAGATACTACACAGTACAGATAACACCTGGAGAGGTGTGTGAATAATATTATTATTTACTTGGATATCATAAGCCTTACATCCACGTGAACGTGGATACAGCTCTACTTATATCCACTTATTTACGTGAACTTGGTGCGAATAAATATATGCTCCGTTTGAAGCCGAATATAAAAAATAGTTCTAACAAAAAAAAAAAAAAACAGTTCGTACAAATACACTACTTAAAAAGTATTAGAAATTATAGTTTTAATTTGTTATTAAAATGTAGCAAGTAAATACGCATACGCTATTTATGGAATGTATGTACATATATATGGACACGCAATTCGGCAGTTCTTCTTCTTCTTAGGGGGTTTTGGTGGCTCCAGTTTGACACCAACGCCACCCTAGCCCGAGAAAAATTAAATATTCAATAAACAAATTAATGGAATCGACGTATTAAAAACTACTCTTTTTAGAAATGCAATTAGCAAAAACTGCTCCTTTCTATTTATTTAATTAATGCAAATTAAAGTGCCCGGTAACAGGCAATACTTCGCGAGTCATTATAAAGCTAATAATCAATATTTAAAAGAAATTTTTATTAGAAAAAACTGCTCTTAGGGCGCTTCAAATTGCTCTATGATTTAATTGCAGATTCAAAGTGATTAATATCAATAAAATATGAAATAACAAATAGCTTGGGTGAACCAATGGTAGATAGGAGTTTTTGTTGCTGTGAGTTGGCTACACTTGGTTACTTCATGCATGCGCGCAACGCATCTTCTGCCAAACTGGCACCAGTCACCAGTGGCTCTTATGATCGCTACATTCATACATATGAAAATAAAATTATAATTATAAAAAAAATATGTTGAAAAAGTTAATTCACAAATTTTTTTTACTATCGTGTAACGATAAAAAAACACATGGCACAAAAGGGTTCTGCCGGGCTGTTGACTTGGTATCACGTCGACTTAAGTCTCTGGTAGTGGAATGCATTATGCATTGGTCGAACGTTTGTTGTTGTTGGTTAAATGACTCACAGAACTTTGGAACGAAACGCCGTTACAGTTTATGGTAGTGAAATAAAAGTTGGATATGAAACGTGCTTTCTGCAATCAAAATAAATAATTAAAGAAATAAGGATGACAAAAAAATGTTTGTTTATAAATTTATTTTACTTCAAATCATGTAGAAGAAAGGAAGAAAATTTTACTTTGGAAGATGTAATCGAGTATGAAAAATTTTTTTACGATCTGCTCAGTAAAATCCACACTAGGTATGCAAATCGTTTGCAATATATTCCTGATTCTACGTATTTTTATACCAGTTCAAATATTGGCAATAAATTGTTTACTTAATTGTATAATCTTAGGTAGTTGATTGTTATTTACTTTCATAAACCCTACTACAGTTTGCAAAACTTCAGAAAAATGACAACAGACTAACTGAGGTAGAAGAAATGTTAAAAGCTTACGTAACAGAAGGGGGAAAGATGATGCCAAAGACACGATGGACGAAGAGCTGTGTATCATGATTCATGATTCCCATGTTGCACACTTTGACGTATGATTGGTCGAAAATTGGTACTCAAATAATCACGTTAATTTGGCATTGTTTCAAAAAACGACTGGATCAGCCATTTCTGATGCAAACTTGAGGGCCCTGGTGTAGATCCTCTGAAAAGTGATGACATTAAAACTATTTGGCTACAAAATATCCATACATTGATATGGTCTTAAATTATTTTTGTTATTTTACAGAAAAACACCAATGGACATGTTAAATCAACTGAGAGACGGGCTGAAAAGTAACATTGAATCAGCTAACGAATCAAGTTTTGGATTGTTCTTAAGACTAATGGGTAAATAAAAGGCATTAGTATACGAAAAAATTGTGTATTTTTACTT